CAACTCCGGAGCTGGAGCCCCCTGGGGGGCAGTTCGTTGTTGCCTTCAACCTCGATCTGATAGTTCCAGCGACGGTGCTGCAACCAATCATATTGGCGTTTGTCTTTCCACTGGAGACTTTTGGCACCGCGGAGAGGGGGGGATGGACTAGTTACATGGGTAGCAGCTTCTCTTCCCATGTCTACCTTCCCAGGCTTTGCGCCCTGGAGAGAGGGGGACCTGCTGCATGGGTAACAGCTTCTCTTCCATATCTACCTACCCTGGCTTTGCGCCCTGGTGAGGCCACTCCAGACCGACAACCAGAGCCCAACTCCATAGTCTCCTGAGACTGATGGATGTCAACTACTACATCAGTGTCATTCACATGGGCCAGCGCCTGCCCCCCCCCCCCCCATCCCTTGAAAGGCAGTGTCAGCTGAGGGAAGTGTGACACTCCCTGAGGCAGTGCCACACTGGGGATCTATCACCAGTTTTTCCCCTAATGCAACACATCTTCGCGTTTCGTACCTGCTTATTGCCTCACCATTCTTTCATAGATTTTTATTTTATTTTATTTATATATATACAAGAGTTCTTACATTCTCGTGACGTTACTAGTACGCGTAGCGTTTCGGGCAGGTCCTTAATCCTCATTTTCCCCCGGAATACGACCCGCTAAATCGTTTAACAACCAGGTACCTATTCACTGCTGGGTGAACAGAGGCTACAGTTAAGGATTGGCGCCCAGTCAATTCTCCCCAGGATACGAACACTCACCCGACGTTTGCGAAGCGCCGGATGAGTGTTTTACCACTGTGCCACGGGGACTGCAAAGCTTGTAGCAAAGGCTTTCTACTCGCTACAAATATAGCAGTAAAGAGGTACTGGAGAGTTGTGCAACTGTTGTGGGGCTGCATCTTGGGGAGGGTCAGTAGTTCCACCTTGGGAACATCTCGATACAAGTTTAAAGTGTATATATATACACAAGCTTCCTGTCCTAACGAAACGAATTGCTCTCAATTTACGCTGTTGCTATAGTTTATGCTAAAACACGTTTTCTTATATGAAAAACAATTGCGTTCATTTTCTATGATTGTTCGTTCAAGTAAGGGATAACAAACTTAATTTTGAGCACCTTTAACTTTTGCTCAATTTATTTATTTATTGTTTACTTGTTTATCTATATATTTATTTATAGTCGCAGTGGTTTGGCACTTTCTCCTGATATCTATTTATTTATTTATACAAAAAAGGTACACTGGGATATGAAAATACATACGTTGATTAAGTGGTATATTCATGCAAAGGCCCTAATATTCATATGGCTCTTTGACGATGAACGGACGTCTGAACTCCTCCTCCTCTGCCTGGGAGCCGCCGGATCGCGTATTGTTTTGCGATTTTGGATTATAATACTGCCGTTTGGCACTCCTATTCAACGGTCCGGATTGTTACGACGGCTGGCGCTCAAATCGCCTTGGGGGTCACGGGTTTGTTGATAGATTTTGAAGGGATTCTGGGTGGTTCTTCGGGCGCGGTGTTGATGTCCGGCGCCGGTTTGGTCGAGAGGTGCCGGGAGTTGGTAGGTCTTGGTGGGCTCCAGGTGTGTCCTCAGCCGTGATGGGTTGCAGGTGTGTCCTCAGCCGTGGTGGGCTCCAGGTGTGTCCTCAGTAGTGGTGGGCTCCTAGCTGTTGGGCCCTCAGCCGTTGTCGTGCCCATTAACATGTTACAGGTGGTCCCATACCCATCCTACGGGTGGTAGTGGACCCCATACCCATCCACTTGTGCAGAATAATATTCTGAACAATGTCATCTTGGACGTTAATAGTTATTATAAAGCATAAATGTTAACACTTCAGTAAGTTATAATCATTTAATTTGTCATTAACGAGCAATATCTTAAGTCAATTGAAAGCAAATATTTAACATCATTCAGTGTTGTGTCAGGAAGTTTGGGTGTTGTGTTTGTTAGTCTGTTATTGTATATGTTGTTTATTGTTGTTGTCGAGCGGAAATTAACAGTTCTTGACTGGCGAAGGATTACTACTTCACTGCCGATTCTGTTGCAAATGTTGCTCCATTGTACCCGTTGTTCTGTTGCAACATTTACAACAGAATGTTGTATTTGGTTTGTGGAATAGATTTTTAAATTAACAGCTTCAGACATTCAAGCTGGGGACCATTATTGGTTCATTAGAGACTCGTTCGTGTTTGAGGAAGTGAAGGAGTGGCTGTTGGCCATTGTTAATTGACACTTCAGACTCGCAAAATGTTAACCAATGGGGGTGAGTTTTAGGGTGAATGTCAGCCAATCAGCGGCCAAGTTTGGTTGGCTGCCGGGTATAAAAGGGACCATGTGACAAAAAGCACTTAAGTGTTGTTTTACCTCACTTTTGGTATACAGTTCAGCTTCGTCTCTTGAAGGTGAGCTGTATGGTGTGGCTTCCCCTTCCCTTGTCCCCCATGTTGTGCTGCCCCCTTCTCTCCCCCCCCCCTTTCCCTTTGTTGCGCTGCCCCCTCTCCCCCCTTCCCTTCCCTATGTTGCGCCGCCCCCTCTCCCCCCTTCCCTATGTTGCGCCGCCCCCTATCCCCCCCTCCCCATTTCTCCCCCCTTTCCCCCCCCTTCCCAGTTACTTGTTCTGGAACTAGTTTAAGTGTATTGGGGGTAAAGATATATAATTATTTCAGGTTTGCCTTGACGAATCGAAGGTTGGGTGAAGTGCGTATAAAGCTGCTTGTGGCACCACAGTGGACCCAAACTGGCCTGTGATGCTCCTCTGCCTCGCTTGTATCATGCGAAAGACTAGCCCTTAACGTCTGACCTTCAACCTTAACAATTCGGTTAAATACACGTTACAAATTTCTGTAAGTATACAATGGGAGTTACTAGTTTTTTAAAACGTGGAAACTACAAATTTAACATTTTAATAACGTAACTAAAATTGTTGGTTTAGAATTGCGATTCTAGTTGTGTAAATAGATTTTCTAAAACCATGAACTAGTATCTTAATCCATAAGATTTCCATCCATGGTGGATTTGTTTTAACATTAACGCTATATATGTAACGTTGTCGTAGATATTAATAGTAAAATTCCCCTATAATACAAAAGCATTTCAGTACTTCTAAATCGTGATTTTTAATGTGACCAAAAATTTGATTAAAGCAATAAATTTCATAGTTCGTGCATTCAGAGAATGGTCAGTAATTCGGCTTAGAGTAATACAAAAGGCAGCAGAGAGCTTGTAGATCAAAGTGCTCCAAATTTAGCTAAATTGTTCGTAAGTTCATTAGTTTCTGCCTTTCAACAGCCTGAGAGCGGCAAGATTACTAGAAAATAAAATCTGACTTGAGGCAAAGTTAAATTAATAATAATTACTAAATAAGAGTTCAACTATAGTATTTTAACTACCACTTATGGCTCCTTATTTAAGTTTTTTGGGTGATTTTTAAGAGACGAAGCTGAACTGTATACCAAAAGTGAGGTATAACAACACTGAAGCGCTGTTTGTCACATGGTCCCTTTTATACCCGGCAGCCGACCAAACTCGGCCGCTGATTGGCTGACATTCACCCTAAAACTCACCCCCATTGGTTAACATTTTGCGAGTCTGAAGTGTCAATTAACAATGGCTAACAGCCACTCCTTCACTTCCTCAAATACGAACGAGTCTCTAATGAACCAATAATGGTCCCCAGCTTGAATGTCTGAAGCTGTTAATTTAAAAATCTATTCCACAAACCAAATACAACATTCTGTTGTAAATGTTGCAACAGAACAACGGGTACAATGGAGCAACATTTGCAACAGAATCGGCAGTGAAGTAGTAATCCTTCGCCAGTCAAGAACTGTTAATTTCCGCTCGACAACAACAATAAACAACATATACAATAACAGACTAACAAACACAACACCCAAACTTCCTGACACAACACTGGATGATGTTAAATATTTGCTTTCAATTGACTTAAGATATTGTTCGTTAATGACAAATTAAGTGATTATAACTTACTGAAGTGTGAACATTTATGCTTTATAATAACTATTAACATCCAGGGTGACATTGTTCAGAATATTATTCTGCACAAGTGGCGTCCTCGACGATCACCACGTGACGCCGGACGGGTCCTCGAAGTCCTCCTCCAAGGTACTCCTCGAGCGTCTGGAGTATTAGTCTTAAGACGAGTCTTACAGGATATCAGGCGGTTCCCAGCTCCTTCCTCCACGCCCTCTACATCTCCAGCCTCTTCAGTTCTGCCTGTTAGAGTTGTATGTTTACCTTGAGATTTATAAGCTTATAACTGTCTTATCGTAACCTCCACCTCAGACGACCACAGCCAGACAGTAAGGAAGGCAACTAAGACCGTCTATGTGGACTACAGAACATCTACAACGACGGGATAACGTAACACAACATTGCCTCTCACTACGTCAAGTCTGTCACGTGACACTAGAGCCTCTGATGTTGATGCCTCTCGTCGGTCTTGTCTCTTAAGTCTTCCTACTTGGGAACCTGTACACTGAACATTGCTGCCTTCAACACTGCAGTGTATCCTCAGGATGGGTATGGGGTCCACTAGCACCCGTAGGATGGGCATGGGATCCACTACCACTCGTAGGATGAGTATGGGATCCACTACCACCCGTAGGATGGGCATGGGGTCCACTACCACTCGTAGGATGAGTATGGGGTTCACTACCACCCGTAAGATGGGCATGGGGTCCACTACCACTCGTAGGATGAGTATGGGATCCACTACCACCCGTAGGATGGGTATGTGTATGGAGTCAGCCTCCACCACATCACTGCCCATTGCATTCCATTTGTTAAATAAGCTGACACTGAAAAAATTATTTATGTCGCTGTGGCTCATTTGGGACCTAAGTTTCCACCTATGTCCCCTTGTTCGTGTTCCACCTGTGTCCCCTTGTTCGTGTTCCACCCGTGCTAAAGAATTTCTTTGTCCACCCTCTCAATTCCTCTGAGAATTTTGTAGATGAAGGATAATGATAAATCAATATGAAAAATTCTATATATAATACATAAAGATATATTACAATAATCATATAATATATATCACAATATACAGAGAAACACAACCAGTGTTTGTGGCACGGCATGGGACACTCTCACACTCTCTCTCTCTCACTCTCTCTCACTCTCACACACACGTATGCATGCATGCAGGAACATGCACACTTGCAGATGGAATATTCAGAGAAACAGAAGTACAACCTGAATGGGGAGGAAGAAACCAGAGAAACAGTTCCAGCCACAAGCAACATAGAAGTCAGCCTTAAAGAAAAGAAACTCCCCAGATTTGGAGTAGGAAATGGATACCCGGGTATATACATACATACACACACACACACTTGCTGTGTATGTGTGCACGTGTTGGTGTATGCATGCATGCATGTGCTTGTAATTACGTAAGTGTAGTTAACAGGTACTTAAGTGTAGTTCCAGGATGAGAGTTATGGTAGTGGTGTCCCGTCTTCCCAAAGCACTGTTATATAATGCTTTGAAACTACTAAAGATTTTGGCCACCAATGCCTCACTTGCCTTGTTCCAATCATCTACCACTATGTTTATGAAAGTGAAATTTCTTATATTTCTTTGACAATCTTTGTTTATTTAGTTTAAATCTATGACCTTTTGTTCTTGAAGTTCCAGGAATTCTTCCCTCCCAATTTTTCCCACCTGTGGTTCTCAGTTGATAGTTTTCTATCTACAACCACCTCAAGATCTCTTTCTTTATCAGAATTGTTTAAAGTTTTTTTTCACATAATTTGTAGGTTGTGTGTGGTCTATTTTCTCCTATTCCACATTTCATATCATGGCATTTATTCAGGACGTGTGGTCCTGAATAGATTGAAAACACAATCGACTTGATAATGGTCCTGGACGGACCGAAACGTTGTCGTTCCTCGAATCTTCTGGTGTGTGGTCTGGTCAACATACTTATTCCACGTTATTGTGACTCATCGCCTGTCGATACTTGAAATTAAAGAAATGTGCTGATTGGCTTATAGAACAGGTCAATCACTGAGAAAGGATACCAAAGGATACATGATCCTAACATACAAGATACAAAAACCAAATGGGCAAAGACAAACTGCCACAGAAAGCAAACAAATAAGATGACAAAGTGGAAACTGTGTTTAAGAGTAAGAAACTTAAAGAAAAGGAATGTCTTCAAACGGGTAGAAATGTAAATAACGGGGTAGAAAGAACAAGTAACCTCCATTAACACATCTAAAATGTAAGTTTAAGAACAGTCAAATTTATTAAATTTAGGCTTAAAAGCCTAAAAAAAAACCATTGCACCAGACAGTTTGCTGCTCAAAAAATGGTGAAAATGTTCAGTAGGTGAAAGTATATTTCCCACAAATACTGCTAAGTATGCGCAGACATGCACGCACGCACTCAGGGCACAGAACACAGACATGCACGCACGCACTCAGGGCACAGAACACAGACATGCACGCACGCACTCAGGGCACAGAACACAGACATGCACGCACGCACTCAGGGCACAGAACACCCGATTATGTTGTACAACCTGCCCCATTCATGGTCATTTAACACATGGCAGCAGTGACTAAGTTCACTACAACTGATGTGTTTCAACCTACGCACAGACCCCATGCTGGCCACTGTGCATTAACGTGTGCTCTCTAGAAAATAGCAAGTGGCACATACCCCCTTTTGCTTTCCCTCTCACTAGAATGTCACTAAAACAACCTTTACTCGTGTATGACTTGAGACAGAAAGCCCCCTTCGCTCATGTATATCTTCACCGTACAAGCACTTCACTTATATACAATTTATGGAAATACATTCATAGTCCCCCCCCATTGCACACGATATGCCAAAATACACTAACGCGCACGCACTCATTCAAGAATCAAAACTATACAGAAACAAATCAGATGAGTTGTGGTCGCTAAACACCTCTGTTCATAGTCCTTCATCGTCTGGGTAATATTTTAAGTTCACCTAATTCTCATGAGCATCAAAATTTGCATTGTACTCTGTAGACCCTTTAAGAAATCAAGGAAAAAATTGCACCTTACCGATTACATTTGCATGTTGCTCGTACAGGATGGTGGCAACATGTACTAGTACAGTAGATGTGCTGTAAGTCTCATCACTTAAAGTATATCTACTGTTGACCAGACTACACACACTAGAAGGTCAAGGAACGACGACGTTTTGGTCCGTCCTGGACCATTCTCAATCGATTGTGAGAATGGTTCAGGACGGACCGAAACGTCGTCGTCCCTTCACTTTCTAGTGTGTGGTCTGGTCAACATATTTCAGCCACGTTATTGTGACTCCTCGTCAGTATATCTAGTGTAAGTGATCAGACTAGTCCCTATGAGTGTTTGCTTCAGTAGCTTTCAAAGACTAATAGTATTTTTTACAAGATCATTATTCACATGTGGGTTACTTGTATACAAGTTTATACATTCAATTTATTTAAGATCATGTAGCGCTAGAGGAATACCTGAAAGAGCCAGATTTATTGTTGAAAATTGTGAATTCATAGTACAGCTGATGCCCATTTGATATCATGTTTTCCTTAGGCCTAGTAAATTTTAGATGCTTAGATGGAACAGGTGACATACCGAAGGAGCACTTATGGCCTACACTCATTATAGAATTCTTCCAGAATAACTGCATGCACAGTTATATATTTTGGCTCACTGTCTTTGAAAAGTTTTGGGAAGACACGCATGACATGGGACAGGTTTTGTAATGCTTTGGCACCGACAGATGTCCCTAGATCTTTGTCTCCCAACACTTGATATGGCATCGCTCACTTGGCACTCTTACTTGGCAAAGAAACCAGATGGTTTCGCCTGGCACACACTCTCCATGCACGCCTCGCCCACTTAAATACACCTATGTACAGGGGTACACAGCACTGAGAGCACACCGCACGAGTGGAGAAATGTCCTCACTAAGTTCCTGCGTGTGGGTGGCCTCAGCAGCTGGGTAGACGCTAGCAAGACGAAGATTGCTGAGCATGGTGAGAAAATTGTTTATGACTCTTAGCTTTACTCCAAGCAGATGGATGTTTGCCGGGGCGTTTACACGTTTTGGTCTTTACTTCGGAAGCCTCGTCCGACTGATCGTTTTCTGAAGGTTCAGTAGTACCTAGTAGCTGCTCCATATACTCCGCAATCTCAGAAGACCCAATTCGTGCACCAACTGACCCAACACTCATGGGCTCATCATGTTCGTAAGCTGGGTTGAAGGCAGCGTATGTGTTGAGTTCGGCAACTGTATGAAGAATGGGCTCATCGGAGCGGGATGGTAATGTACCTAATGTATCTTGCTCTCTTTCAGCACTCCCAACTCCTGCACCTCCTTTCAGGTCATAATAACCACGGCTTTGAGAGGAAGAAGACACAGTTCCGCTGAGGTCTCCCTGCTTGTTGCCTCCATTATTTCGTGATGGGGAATAGCCCGAGTAGTGAGAATCTGTCATGGAACGGCCGTCACCCTCATCACGTCTGCTGAGTTCGGACACTACACTTGACTGTGGGAGACCAGAGGTGGTGTCTAAACTAACGCCAATATTTGGAACTTGTGGATGAGCCGACACCCAAGGCTTAGGACCAAACCTCTTGGGTGGAATAGGTGGTGGTTTAGGTTTAAAGTCAGGTTTAGGAGGCAGTGCTAGCTGGTTATCATCAGCCAGTGATAGCTTATCAAAGTTACCAAAGCTGTCTTCGGATGCTGATTTGCTCTCTGCATCTCCATGATCAGATGCAACGATGGGCTGAGCAGCTGACATGAGGAGTTTTGAGAGAGGTGGAGCTAGGCCAAGGCCTAAATTCCTCTCATGGTAGACATCGCTGATCGGCATCTCCCTATTAAGGCGCGACATCTGAGTAGCAATAATGTGATCCTGGATGCTCTTGTGGCCCATGTGACTCATCTTCATGGACATTTCATCACCTGAACGATAGTTGTAGAGGGAATCGTTCTCGTGAATAGTTGCTGCATGGTTAGTACGTGGCCGCAGCAGCTTACCAATTGAGGAGTCAAGTTGCACCTCTGGCATCTTTCTTGCCTGCACTACTTGTCTGGTCTCGCTTGCTTCAGAAGTGGTGTTTGAGGTAACTGTTGCACCAGAGCTGGAAGCTTGGCCCTCAGCAGCCTCAGAAGAGAGCTCACGCTCACTACTACGATCCCGGCGGCCACGGGCCCCTCCAAGCGTGGGACGCCCCACCTCAGTGCGGACACTGAGACGGTCCAGGGTGTCCATAGTGGCACTCTTACTCAGCTTAAGAGTAGCTGCACTGCCTACTGTTGTGTACACACTTCTTACAGTACCTGTTCTTCTAGGCCCAAAATCTGAGTCTGAGCTTTGGGATTCAAATCCAGAAGACGCTTGAGAATTGCTCTTATTGATGGAGACATACTGCGGACGCATGAATCCGGCACTGACATCACTAACACGGCTGTGAGCAGAAACTGGGGCTTTTGAAGCAATGATTGGCTTGGCAAGTGGCTGACGTCTTACTGTTGCCTGTCCACTCTCCCAGTCAGTCATACTACTGGTGCTGCTGGAACTGTCAGGTCGTTTTCCACCACCATCACTTGCTGGAGATGCTGAAGTATACATGGAACGGATTTTGTTTTGGTGAGCGAGCGTGAGAGAGAGACGTGGAGAGGGCTGGGGCGACCCTGTGTCACTAGGGGGCCCATGGTTAGGACGGAATGCTTGAGAATATTTGGCAACGGGATCAACAGGAGACGGAGTAAATGCTGCATCGCTTTCCCGCCCCTTCTGCTCACTGGTGGAGGCTCGGGCGCCATCTGGCTCCCCGCGGTTTCTGACGTAGCTGGAGAAGGCTCCACGGCCAAGCAGGAGTGGAACAGTGCGGTGCTGGAGCAGGGGCTGGGACGGGGGAGGCGGAGGAGGAGGAGCTGCCACAGACTCATCCTCGTCATCAGAACTCACCAGAGACTCCAGACTACTGCTTGAGTCCACACTTAGGCTCTTTGGGGCATCTTGAGTGTCTGTAAAACAGCAAAATTATATGAAATATGTCACATGTATTGAGAGAGTTTAAGCAACAGTGAAGTACAAAAACTCAGTCACATGATAAACTTGACTAATTTTGTCAATATTTGAGAAAATCACACAGAATTACTACTGTAGTATAACATTATAATGCATTGTCAGTAGTTTAGAATACAGTAAGTGACTTCGATAGGCATAATGGATTGTAATTATTATCAATACTATCCATGGATGTTTAGTACAGATGTATTTACAAAATTCTTATCAAAAAAACTACCAAATACAGTAATAAATTTAATACAAAGATTCAAATTATATACAGTTTTTTGTTGCATTAAAACTATTATTTATTAGTATTCAATAACTAGTCAAAAAAGACATTATGGTTCACAGTTAGTGTACTAGTGTGGCAGTGGCAGAAGGGGGGAGAACTATCAGGGGGGGGGAAAGCGCCAAGCCATTACGACTATATAGCACTTGGAAGGGAACAGGATCAGGATTTGGGATGGAACAGGAAGTGGAGGGGGGGGGGTAAGGAAAGGTGCCCAACCACTTGGACGGTCGGGGGGATTGAATGGGCAGTTGGAGAAGTATGAACTAAGACGTACCGAAGAGAGCGAGAAGAGCCTGGTGAGCGAACTGGATGTTGCGTTTGTTGGCCTGTTTGCCTGTACGGAGAGTTACTTCGTCACGCCCCACCTCCATTAAGTCAAATCCTGTCCGGGGGATAGAAAACTTTAGAAAAAGTCACTTGCACAACTTATGTCTAGAAATATAAGATTGTTGAACAAATCCACAAGGGCCCATGATGAGGGTTCGAACCTACGTTCCGGATAGTCCCAGACGCGCCTTAGTCGGCTGCACAACGACATGGTCAAAAGAAATGCTACCGGGAGTGCTACTGCACTCACACTGATCCCACAGCCTCTTCGAGACACAAATCAGGGTTTTACACAATTCCCCCATTCACCCGGGCTCTGTCAACAACCTACCTACCTCTTTGCCCTTATTTCAATACACTGTTTTGTACTTCAATATGCGTGAGTTGATGCATCACGCTATTGTGATTTCTGTGTGTATAAGAATGTTTTACATTCTTGTACACCTTAAGAGATAATTACCTAAGTGTTACAGGATGAGAGCTACGCTCGTATCTGATTCAAGGACAGATACCAGAGGACACAGATTCAAGCTAAGGTGCCACAAAAATATTCGAATGTTTTCTATTGCAAACAGAGTGATAGATAGTTGGAACAAGTTAAGTGAGAAGGTGGTGGAGGCCAAACCCGTCAGTAGTTTCAGAGCGTTATACGACAAAGAGCACTGGGAAGACGGGACATCACGAGCGTAGTTCTCATCCTGTAATTACACTTAGACCTGTTCAGTCTAGCCAGAATTGTACCGATCTATGTAAGTTGATACGAATATAGCTTTTGATCCACAATTTTATAACAAATGTTCAAGAAATATGTAAATATTTCATTCAAAATAATCTGCTACCAGAAATTTTTAGCCAAAAATCCCCAAGTTTGCTAACTGTAGGTAGTTACTCAGCGATTGTAACCTATCCACCGCTGCCCACTGGATGGGGGGGCGGTGTGCAGGACAAATATATACACTATGACACTAGCTCTCCATATATGTCAGTTGTATAATTTAGAAACTGTACTTATGGTCAGTCTCGAGCCCATTGTTGATGTGACAATATGCATTGAATTTTGTAACTAGCTCATCAAGACTATAACTTGCTTAGCTAAATGAATTGTAGGGGTTCAGTCCCCGAGCCCATTATGTGCCTCTATGATTCAGATTCTCTCTTCTTACATACCTAAAGAGGCAAGGAGCTCATGGCAGCCATTGACCCTCCAGAGCTTGACGTGAACTGGCACCTCGATGGACTCGCTCTCCAAGTCCTTGAGGGTGAACTGGGTGATGACAGCCCGCATCACAGAGATGACATCTTCAGCATATTCAGGGGAGTCCAAGAGCTTGGAGACTGCCTGTAGGGACGTCTGTGATAACCCTGTCGAGATAAAGGCATTTAGCATATATATATAAATCCTTTGCTAGCTCAAGAGGCAGAAACCTCCTTCAAGACTGTATATTTAAAATATGTTACATGTAAAAATCTGATAGAATTGCCAGATACAATTTGAAAAACATACTGTATATGGGATTTACACAATAGAAAAAACACATTTAATACTGATTTTTTCCATCTGGCACCTGCTAGTTAATTCTTGGAGTTCCCAGAGTTATTCATAGTTATTATTGCATTTCTAGACACTTTTTATTAAATACACATCATATTAACAGCCTCTAGATATGTGTTGATATTGGTCGATCATGAAAGGTACCTTAACATTTATATTTGCCAACACAAAGTATCAAAACACAGAAGGCAAAAAAATGATATTGTATAACTGGCCTCCTCAATGAGGCAAATGCAGTATTTGCAATCTGAACTGAAACTCAAAAAATTACCAGTAGTAGTAGTACTATAATTCCTATTGTCGGAGACATGAAGCAAATACAGTAATCAACATCCCCCTTGGTCATCTACTGACTTTCACAACAGTTGCCTAACTCCTCGGTAGCTGTTGACCAGACCACACACTAGAAGGTGAAGGAACGACGACGTTAAGACGAAGAAGACTATCGACTTGAGAATGGTCCAGGACGCACCGAAACGTCGTCGTCGTCCCTTCACCTTCTAGTGTGTGGTCTGGTCAACATTCCTCAGCCACGTTATTGTGACTCGTCGCCTCCTAGGTAGCTGTTAACTGCTAGAGGAACAGAGATATCTAGTAAAAGGTTAAGTGCCCTGCCTGGGGATTCAATCCGGTCCCTGTATTGTAAGTCAAGGATGGTGCTACAGGACCCCATTGTTAAATACGGATTCCAGACAAGCTGCTGGCTTCTGTCGTCGTCGAGGCCACTACCTGAGGATAGTGGTCCTCTATCACCTGAAGATAGTGGTCCTCTATCACCTGAAGATAGTGGTCCTCGGGTAAATTCAGGTAAAAATGATTGGGACTCCTTAAAATATCTCAATCTGCACATTTTAGATTACAGAAGAGAGATATACATAATAGTGTACACTTGGAAAAGGTTGGACTGGTTCCAAATCTGTACATAGAAATTATTCCAAATGAAACCGGGTGATTTAGCAGAATATACAAAATAGCCCATGATTTGCCAAATGTGCCTAACATTCTTAATATGTTGAATTTTACAAGGTAGGTGTAGAGCTGTTTGTAAATCTTTTCAAATACCTTTTATAATATTGGTAGGTTTCATATTGACCTGTAACTGATTATCAGCTGTATCACCCCCCATTATGAAATGGAGTTTCACTTGTCTTCTTTAGCACATTTAGCACATTTTCTTTAGCACATTCTCAAGAGATTTGTTGAAAAGTAGAGCTATGGCTGATGCAAGAACACAAACAGTACTTTGTATATCGTAGTTAATACAGGTATTTCACTGTAATACAGGTGACACACCGTGAGACAGTGACTAGGTGATGCTACAGTGTCACCTAGTCACTGCTTCACGGTGTGTCACCTAGTCACTGCCTCACGGCGTGTCACCTAGTCACTGCTTCACAGCATATCACCTAGTCACTGCCTCACGGTGTCACCTAGTCTCTGCCTCACGGCATGTCACCTAGTCACTGCCTCACGGCGTGTCACCTAGTCACTGCATCACGGCATGTCACCTAGTCACTGCCTCACGGCATGTCACCTAGTCACTGCCTCACGGCGTGTCACCTAGTCACTGCCTCACAGCATGTCACCTAGTCACTGCCTCACAGCATATCACCTAGTCACTGCCTCACAGCATGTCACCTAGTCACTGCCTCACAGCATGTCACCTAGTCACTGCCTCACAGCATATCACCTAGTCACTGCCTCACAGCATGTCACCTAGTCACTGCATCACAGCATATCACCTAGTCACTGCCTCAAGGCATGTCACGTAGTCACCACCACACCAAACACCAATGCCGCTCACCGAGAAGGGCCTGAAGGCTCGCAGAGCACTGGGTGAGTCTCTCTCCTGGGTCACTCTGGGGGAAGAACACACTACTTGGAATCCCATTCGCGGCTGGCTCGAACCTGAACCCGACGCTCATCAGCAGGTCCTTCCAACCCGTCACATTGCCCACCTTGTTCTCGATGGACTTCTGCGTGGTGTACATGGCATTGCGGTGGCCACGGTGGATCCTCTGCAAAGATTTCTCCACCTGCAAAATGAACCATCACAGGCGTATTGAGGAAGGCTAAAGGAACAGTTAGGTTTGTTGTGAAGATTTGAGGGAACGGCAGTTTATTGTTGGGAATTTGTTATATGTAACTACATAACATGGTCTAATTTGCGACAAAAGATACACACATGACTCTGGCAGGTATGTTGTAAAGATTTATCAGGATGGTGCATGTATGTAGACACTCGGATACACACATGCACGATGACAGGTATATACACGATGACAGGTACACACATGCAAAATGACAGGTACACACATTCACAATGATAGGTACACATATGTATAATGACAGGTACACACATGCACACTGACAGGTACACACATGTACAATGACAGGTACACACATGTATAATGACAGGTACACACATGCATTTATTCAGGCGGGTTTTGCAGTCTGTGTTCAGGATTCACCATACACAAACCTGGGTTCTATTCCTGGCCAAGGCAGAAAAATATGGAAAGAGATTCTTTCACTCGATGCCTCTGTTCACCTAGCAAATTCAACTCACAACTTTAAAAGATAGGGAAATAGGGTAGGACTAATTGCACTAGATACCTAGTGGCTAGAAAAGTAGAGTCTAAAAGCCCGCTAGAGCTAAAAAAGAGCTAGAGCTTGATCCTGCAGGTACAAATATGTGAAACACACACACACACACACACACACACACACACACACACACACACACACACACACACACACACACACACACACACACACACACACACACAAAGAGCTGAAGCTCAACCTCCACAAGCACAACTGAGTGAGTACACACACACACACAATACCCACCAGGTGCAGAGTAACTCTGAGGGCATCCCGGCACTTGTCTGGGGTCTTCAGTAGTTCACAGAGTGCCTGCCCCATCAGTGCCACCTGTGGAAGACCAAGGGAAGTGAGCATAGGGTATCACAAGTGAGATGGGGGGGAGGTGGTGGGGATGGGTTGAGGGCAGCAATGAGGGGTGGAATGAGGAAGGGATTACATTACTTCTACAACCAGCCATCTTTACTCTCTACTGATCATAACACAACTTGTTAGCAAAACAAATTGCGGGGAAATGTTAATGACTTCAAATCTCATTAAGTAAACACTTCCCAGAGCCATAACAAACTGGAATTCAATAGAACACAAGTGTGCATTTCTTTAAATAAATGTTTTATGGACATGAAATATAGTATGTTGATTCAAGTTGGTACTGATATGCCACATGTGCAATTCGGCAGGCCAAAAAAGTTATACCTTGTTTGACAGCTTGACGTCGGCACCGATGAGCAGGAAACCTGCCCAGTTGGCAGGATGGGCGAAGTGTTTGGTCGTCTGCACTGTCTGCTGAGCCTCGGACAGAGCTCGACTCACCCGCGCTCCCTGCAACAGCCAAAATAAGTACATTAAAAAACCGTTCCTGTCCATGGCCACGTTACTGCTAACACGTTTAGTGAAATTGATGATGCACACTGCATTATCTGTCAGGACAATAGCTCAATATTTCTCTTTTATAGTATTAGGAGGAAAAGAGTGAGTACCTGAAGGAGTGAGGAGTAGAAGGTCCTGAAGAGTATCTTGACAGCTGTGTCAGGGACAGGCCACAGGGACACAAGGACACACTGGGCCCCAGCCGCCAGCAATGCCCGAGTGAGACCCACCACTCCGTCACTGTTGGCTCGCCCGTGGTGGTCCCGGGTGTGGCACGAAGACACTACCACCAGCTTAGCTCGCAGCTTCAGGTTCAAGATATCGGCAGCCGTCAGGAGGAACTCGGATAATGCCGGCAAGTCTATGGTGGATGCAATTTCCGAGCCCTCATCGTCCAGGTGCTCGTGGATAGCCTCGGGCTGCGATGAATGAGAGAGTCTCTTCGATGCCCGGGACTCGACGAACTCTCCAGGGGAAAGAATTACAGCCGATAGTTTCCATGAGACGTGGGAGGCCAGGTGAATACACTCCACCTGAGATATAAGTCTCAAGATGGCCTCTTTGTTAGCACAAGAACCAGTCATTGCTTTTGTCTGTAACATTTCTGCGACGATGGTAGCTTCCTGTTCAGCATAGGGAATATCGCCCCAGCCCCACTGTTCCGTCACTGTACTCGGTAATTTTGGATTGCCTATCACAAGTGCAGATGTTTGTTCACCACTGGGTTTTGAGTTCTTTGATCGCTGACTTACTCGTAAAGCACTGATAGAGGGCACAACTAGCAGTGAATAACGCTCACAGAGATAATCATTACAGTTCGTACCTTTAAGAACGGGAAACGGGACAAGGTAGAGGTCCCCTTCCAGCACTAGCATCAGTTCCCGCGACACCCCTGCCTCAGGCAAATGGTCTTCCATAGGTGCGATGAGGAGCTCATAGAGTGAGCGGAGGCAAGATGGACCCTGCCAGGTCACCCTACGAGAACGAGTGGATCCTGGCCGCGATGCAGGACCAGAGGCAATAGATCCACTTACTGACCCCAGTGAAAAGAGAGAAGATAGAGAGTAATTAGAAGAATTGAATAAATGATTACGGTTCACCATTCTCAAGAAACCTGTTCTATCGGCCTCGTGGTTAAGCTTGTCGCCAAGCTCCTCCAAATGAGCATTCCACATATCACCAGCCTCACTCTCCGTCTCGCTGGCGACGCCTCCGCGAGTGACCCCAGCGCCACACTCGACCCCTAAGGCATCCCGCACAGACTGGATGTAATGCTCCAGCAGTGATCCACACGTACCAGTCGAGTCTTCCCCACAGTCACCTTCTCGCTCTGCCTCCACTTCGCTCACACTCACTTCGTTGAACTTGACAATACCTGAAGGTAACAAACATCAATTTGCATTCTCTGTAATAATGATTTGCATGAAAATTTTCCAAGCAGCTAAGTTTTACATAATATAGTTCTCTCAAAATGTCGCAAAATTTTGTTTACATCTATATAGCATAAATAATTATATTTTTTGTAGTACACTATTGAATTAAGCAACAGATAAAAGAATTACGAAGTTAAAAACAATTTTTTGAGGTATATGGCAAGCTGTATCCCTGCAATATAAATAAATCCTTTCTGTCCAAAAAAGATGAAAGTATACTTGGTTGGGGAAGCTTAAATTGTTTACCTTTATTTGGTACTATAAGCCAACTGTAAAGACATCCAGCAGCTATGCTATAGTAGAGAACCGAAGCCTTCTGCCGGTTGACAATTTCAACGATCTGGTCTATCGAAGATGGAGTCGAGTCTTCAATTCTAGAGGCTCGGGAGGTGGTAGAAGCCCCCTGACGCTCGAACAGGAGGTCGACAAAGGCACGAGTTCGTCCACGCTCCGCCACAAGAAGAGCGTCCTCATTGCGGCCGAGCCCGACTAAGACTCGCTGCAGCGCCTGGTATGAGGCAGTCTGGAGGTCAAAAAGTGAGAGGCGGTAATCCTGCGAACCTCGGGCTTCTCGGCGTATGGCGTCAAGTAGGTGGGCGGCACGGTCGAGCTGCGTCTGGGCTGCCTCCAAGTCGCCATGGCCCCATAGTGCCATGCCCAGACGGTGTCGGATTTTGGCCTCATCCTCCCGACGACCTAGCTGCTCAGCAATCTGAAGGCCCTGCTGCAGGTACGCCACAGCCTGAGTGGTGTTCCCGAGGGCGTGATGTACCCGACCCAGAGATGCATATGCCAGGGTCTTTGCCACCTGAAACACCAATACCTCCAATAGTATAAAATTGTAATTGATCAGTCTGATTTAAATATTAATCCAAATTAGCATTCTAATCTGTGTAAAGTTGAAATAAGTACAAAATAAAATTTGGCATAATGATAAAAAATGAGTACATGTTACTTTCCAGAGCATTATATAGCTAAGAAGAAGCACGTGGACTCAAAAGATATTTCTAAGAGTGCTGTTTAAGCCACATTTCACAACACCCTCAAGGTTTCCTTATACAAGAAGTGCTTTTTCATATTTACACTATGACGTGATATGCTGCGAGGATCACCAGATGTACAAGCACTGTCGTTCATGTGGGCAGCCATATCACAAGAGCACCAGACGTACGCACCTTGTCGTTCATCTGAGCAGCAATACTGAGGTGCTGTTCCCCGTGGGTCACTGCCTGTTCGAAGTTGCCCAAAGACTCGTAGGCGAGGCTGATGTTGCCATGGGCTCTCCCTTGCTCGACGGGGTTGGTGAGTTCCTCGGCAATGCGGAGGTCGAGCTGGTGGTATCGAAGGGCCGTGGCGTACTCGCACATCTGTTGGTAGACTGTGCCCAGCCCGCAGGCGGCCTCCGCCTCGCAGAGTTTGTCACCCAGCTCCCTGTTGACATACCATCGCCAAAACCATCAGTAAATTTTAGATCATTCTATTCATTATAACTGAATTCATTCCTCCAAACCATTTCATTGCAGATGAAGAGTCGCAATAACGTGGCCCAAGGATGCACACCATAACATTGCCTAACTCCCAAATACCTATATATTTCATGCTAAGGTAAACAGTGTCATCATGTGCAAGGAAATATGCCCAACAATTGCTATACTGTTTCTGTCTAGGGAGGGGCTGATTTCAAGCCTTACCTGGCAATCTGGTGCTGGTGTTCCATGCAGGAAATGGCTTGCTCGAAGTTCCCCAACAAGGAGTGTATGTGGCCGAGTTCGCCATAGGCAGAGCCCTTGGCAGCGGGGGTGTTGAGTTCGTGGGAGACTACGAGTCTCTTCTCGTAGCAGACGAGGGCTTGCTGCAGGTTGCCGATACATCGATGAGAGCTGCCCAGTCCTCGGTACGCGCGCTCTTGGTCCCGGGGGCTCTTCGTTTTGAGGGCGATGGCCAGGTACTGCAGAGATAACAGTGTGTGAATGACTTTTAATGCTCGAGAAAGGCGAAGACTTTGGGGTGCCATGATTGAAATGTACAAATGGATGAATGGGCATAGAATTGAGAGATATTAATGAAGTACTAAATATATCAACACATAATAGCACACTTTCTCTCTCTCTCTCTCTCTCTCTCTCTCTCTCTCTCTCTCTCTCTCTCTCTCTCTCTCTCTCTCTCTCTCTCTCTCTCTCTCTCTCTCTCTCTCTCTAATCCAGTACAACGTTTAAATTAATTACTAGTTTGTTTTGATACGTCTTGATATGATAAGTGTAATTTAAAATGCGCCATCATGATAGTGTTCCATCACCATCAAAAAGTTTATTATTTACATTTTGGTTCAGGAAAAGTTTCCAACTTGAATGTGAGAATCTTTGCAGGTAAACTGGCCAGGGTATACCATGAGGGCCACTATGGTCTCTGAGGAGACGTTGGCGAAGGAGGGGGGGAGTGGTGGGAGTAGAGGGGGGAGCAGATGAAAGGAGAAAGGGGGGGGGGAGGATGGGAAGGATGGAGAGGGAAGAGAGAGAGAGGGAATTATCAAAGGAAGGCATCAAGCCATTACGACTATATAGCACTGGGAAGGGGTCAGGATAACAATTTGAGATGGGAAAGGGGGAAAGGAATGGTGCCCAACCACTTGTGGACGGTAGGGGATTGAACGCCGACCTGCATGAAGCGAGACCGTCGCTCTACCGTCCAGCCCAAGTAGAGAGGGAGGAGAGAGAGAGAGACAGAATACAGGTACCGTACCTGTTCATGACACTTAATGGCCTCGTCTGAGTCCCCGAGAGCGTCGTAGCAGTCCCCGAGGTTGCCAAAGGCACGGCCCTTGTCGACGACGGCGGTGGTGGTGGAGAGCTGCTCCAGGGTGGCCAGCTGCTGCTCCAGGTACCCGATGGCGTCCTCGAAGTGGCCCATGTTGAGCCGCGCGATGCCCAAGTTTCCGAACGCTTGAGCCTCCAGAGACGCATCCTGTAAGGAATAGATGGGGGCATTGTGAGTGTTAGAGGTATTGTGAGAACAAGATCTAGCCAGTGTGGCGGGATAGACTGAAGCAGCATGAAGGGCAGACAGGGGGCAGGGAACTCTATGGTATGAGGAAAGTTAATTCAATAACTCAAATCTTTCAAATCAAAATTACCTTACAGCAAATTGATGAAGAAAAAAGACCTTGGGTTCAGAATCCACCATCACTGAAAGTTGTACAAGTGGTAGCGGTAATAATCTCCCGCCCTGGGCCGTCATGGCGGGAGTCAAATATAATCCCGTGTCATATTTGAATCTCCCGCCCTGGGCCGTCATGGCGGGAGTCAAATATGATCCCGTGTCATATTTGAATCTCCCGTGCTGGGCCGTCATGGTGGGAGAGTCAAATATGATCCCGTGTCATATTTGAATCTCCCGCCCTGGGCTGTCATGGTGTGTGTGTTGCCAATGTGAACGAATATTCTACCAGGTATGTGTGTGCCAGTCTCCAGTAACGAGGCGTTACGAGCCTCTCTGGTTGTAAAAAGTGCTGTAAACAAGCATCCAGTGTTTTGAAAAGGATGTAAAAATAATATGAGTAATTTTACAACTGCAAATTGTGTACCCCAAAACATTTACGAAGCCATGAATTCCACTTTTGAGAAGCAGACTGAGAAAACGTGCTCGCATGGGGGTCGGTGTTTGACAGGGGGGATGGCCCTCAACGCAACAAACACACAACCTAACCGCAACTTTCAGGCAACGTTATTACATTGTTAGAAGGTAAAAAAGTAACATTGTGGTTACGTTATGTGGTGGGCACACGGACGGTGCTGGAACGGCAGGGAATGCCTGGACACCGAGCCTTTGTTATTTTCAAGTCTTTAAGACTTGAAGAGATGTTATAGTTAGAGCTTCCATATGTATAATGTATCTTGAGAGGTTATCTTGAGATGATTTCGGGGCTTAGCGCCCCCGAGGCCCGGTCCTCGACCAGGTCTCCAGCCTGGAGTATAGCTTGTAGTAGCTGGTTAGACAAGGTTATGTTAGCCAACACACAACGTAACGGTCCCTATTGTTACCTCATTACAACCTGTTACAAAGCTGTTAGAAAGTTGTTACAACTTGTTAGATACTTGTTAAAAGGTGTTACACGTTGTTCGTATGTTGTAGCGACGTCGTGTGTTCAGTAGGAGATTACCTGTCAGTCCACACCCCTGAACCACCTCTCGTCCGTATACTTAACAAGCCGTACTGAGGTCAACCACGAGCTCCTCTGCCCGTTACTAAGGCTTGCCCTTCAGCATCTTGGTCCAGCGTCTAGAAGAATTACCTTGAGCTCCTTGGCCCGCTCGAGCTGTTCCTCGTAGCACTTCATGGCGTTGGTGTAGTTAGCGAGGGACATGTGGACAGCTCCAAGGTGGCCGTGGGCCTTGCACTCCCCCTTCACGTCTCCCATCTCCTGTCGGATGGTCAGCTCCTGAAGGAGGAACAGAGTTCGTCAGTTGGAGATGAAAGGAAAATATTTCGTTTAGTCAAATTAAGTTATGGGTGTGTCTGTGTTTGCACACCCATACATATTGTGAGAGTGTGTGTAAGATTGGGAGAGTGTGTGAGTGTATAAGACTGGGAGCGTGTGAGTGTGTAAGACTGGGAGAGTGTGTGAGTGTATAAGACTGGGAGCGTGTGAGTGTGTAAGACTGGGAGAGTGTGGGGAGAGTGTGTGAGTGTGTAAGACTGGGAGCGTGTGAGTGTGTAAGACTGGGAGAGTGTGTGAGTGTGTATGTAAGACTGTGAGAGGAGGTAGAGCTGGCTACTTCTTAAGGAAGGCATTACACAACCTGGGCGACCGACAGATGACTGTCAATGAGCGCATGGTAAGTGACCGTTGCGGGGGGTAGTGTCTGCGGTACCCGTTGCCTCACCTGACTCCTGTGGTACCTTAGAGGAATTCCTCCCTCCCCCTCACCTGAGTGTGGTATCCTAGTGCCTTGTCGAAGCACTTGAGGAGCCTGTGGGCGAGGCCGAGGGCGCCGTAGGCTGAGGCTTCGAGCACCTTATCTCTGGACTGCTTGGCTAGAACCAGCTGCTTCTGGTACACCTTGACGGCTTCGTCGTAGTTCTTCATCTTCATGAGGACGTCGCCGATGTTGCCCAGGGCGCGGAACTTGCCCTGAAGGTGTTTCATCATGTGCGCCAGGGCTGTGGAGAGGAGAGCACGGTGTGAGATGCAAGGCTCGCAAAGGGAAGGATGAAGCCACAAGGGTCTTGATGAGGGTTCGAACCTACGTCCGAGACGATCCCACTTGAATGATGGAAGGAAGGAATGAAGGAAGAAAGACAGAGAGAGGGAGTGAGATGGAGAGATCAGGAGGAAGGCAAGGAGATGGAGAAGTAGATAGATTTGCAGAGGAAGGCAGAGCAGGAGGAAAAAGATACTTTACAGAGGAAAAGATAATGAGAGGAAAATCGTAGAAAAAAAAGAGAAGGGAATTGCACACACACATGTATCCCTTGGAGCTTGTGTCCTCATTTTGTTCAAAATACGAAGAGATATCAAGACGAGAAACGGGTTAGGATAATATATATAGAGAGAGAGATGAGAGAAAGGGGGGAGAGGACTAGAAGAATGCCTCCTGCAGGCAGCCAGACATCTGCACCAGGCTGCAAGCTCAGTGTTGCAACATCAGAGCAATAACCTCCACACAACGGCTACACTCTATTAAATAAATTCCCTTGATGGAAAAAAATATATATATACATTCCTAGACACCATAGACTTAGCTCCGACCCTTAGTTTTGCAGCATGTGTACTCAGGACACAGGCGAACATTTCTATGACCAGGTTAAGTGCCTTAGAGATCTTGATCTCCAATACAGAAGTACATTTAACTGTCCAGGAGGAGGCAGTCACATTCCTAGACACCATAGACTTAGCTCCGACCCTTAGTTTTGCAGCATGTGTACCCAGGACACAGGAGAACATTTCTATGACCAGGTTAGTGCCTTGGAGATCTTGATCTCCAATACAGAAGTACACTTAACTGTCCAGGAGGAGGAGGAGGCAGTCTGTAATGGCTGACCTGCAGGCGGTTTTGGTCAAGCAGTCTCGACTGTTCTGTATTCCTGTGTGAGTATAATTTGTGTATCATTGTATATTCTGTTCCCGTTGATGTGAGAAAATGTATTCCATATGCATCCTCCCTGATTGTATGTGTTTGTTAAGCGTGTCCATATGTGTTTACTGTGCTCCCAAGACCTCTTGGTTAGTTCATTCATCCTTTAATGTCTTGCTTCACTTGTCCATAGTTGGAAATGACTATGCCATTCCAAGTATGAGAGTTGAAGGGCATGAGAGAGAAGGACACACACACACACACTGTACTATGATAGTGCCACTATCAAGGGCCGAGGAACGTCCTGGTATTGCAATGAATGCAAGTATGAAGAAAGATTGAAAGACCAGAGCTGACGTCATTAGAGATTGTAAGTACTTAGGAGGATTGACAGAGGAAATGACAATGTTCAAAATGAATACCAATAAAGCGAGAGGACATGGATGGAAGTTTGAGACTCGGTCGAGTCATAGAGATGTTAGAACAGAGCATCCCAGACGCTGCTTTTCTGGGATGCTCTCGGACGCAGGTTCGAATCCTCGCTACTGCCCTTGTGGATTTGTTCACGAGATGTTAGAAAGTTGTCTTTTAGCATAGAAGTTGTGGGGGAACTGGAATGAACTACATGATCACCTTGTCAAAGCTACCTCTATTTATAGTTTCAAAAGTAGATGTGATCATTAAGTGTCATTGCATTAGACCAACGGCTAGAGAGGCGGGTGCAAGAGCTGAAGCTCGTTTCTGAAAGCACAAATAGATGAGTGCACCCACACACACATCCTCATTTCCCCACACAATTGTACTCTCTTTACCCCCAATCCACATACATGTCATGGACATGATCTGATCTGGCGTAAGGGATAGGTAGTTCCCACCTGTCATATCTCCAAGCTCTCACTCCCTGTGAGACTACGGTGTGTTGTTGTAGAGCGTGTGGCGTAGAGAGTGAGGAGAGGGAGAGTGGCGGTGGTGGGTCCAAGCAACAGCCTGGTGGACCAAGCTCTCACAAGCCAAGCCTGGCCTCGGGCCGGGCTTGGGGGAGTAGAAGAACTCCCAGAACCCCATCAACCAGCGCAGCGGTCCGCTGGGGGTTAATGCACAGATAGCCACAGTGATACAGAGTATACACAGTGCGAGACGCAGTTGGTGAGTGGGCGGGGTAACTAATGGCTGGACCCCTTTGGGCCGGGCCGGGGAAGCGTCCCCTTGGCCGGCTAAGGAAAGGCCAGGATCGCACTCTGGATATGAAGGATAGTGTGACAGCCACGATGACCAGGATAGTGCCTCTAGCCTCCCGGGCAAGACATCTAGTTTGTTGTTATCACCATCAAGCTAAGGGACGTAGAACACTGTACTGTTGTTTTCTCTGTGTTACTTTCTCAGTCTATGTTAAGGGTTACATAGCACTGTAGAGGTAATCTATTCAGGGCCGGCTAACTATCTTCTGGGCACCCCCCTGGTCTATGTAATAGGTTTGAACGAGTAGGTCAGCTACACTATATATCTAATTGTGCATACGGGAGCTCAAGCTCTACAGCCCCGCCTCCTCTCTATACTACGCCAGCTGTCTTCACACATTCCAATACTCTCTCAACACAATCTCAAGCCAGAGCTGAGAATATTTAATACGCCACAGTAACGTCACACACCTTATGCATACTATATTTTATCTTTTATTTTGCTTGGGTTGGGTTTGCTCGTCAGACGCGCTCTTAAAGTGTGACCTGGAGTGGCTTTCCTGTCTGAACTCCACCTGTGCCTCTTCACGTGTTCTCCCCCTTGGACAAAAATAGTCTATTCACCTAAGCATCTTGTGTCTTGGTGATTGTATCGTCCTCCTCTCTCCACTCTTCTAATGCTGTTAGATTTGCTTATCGCCAGCTGTCACTATGGCTCATTTCTCTCTTATCTCCGGGACTTGTCTCCTGGGATATGTTTGGACGTCTTAAATATGCTGCTTTGTGCTTTGCCCCGGTGTGGGTTTCATGGCGGTGCTGCATATTCCAGCACTGGAGAGAGTCCTTGCTTAGGTTCTTGAGAGCCATCCTCGTGTAAGATAGTTTTGCATGCGCTGCTGACTTTGTCCGGTCAATACTGGCTTGTGGGTGAGGGTCAATACTGGCTTGTGGGTGAGGGTCAATACTGGCTTGTGGGTGGGGGTCAATACTGGCTTGTGGGTGGGGGTCAATACTGGCTTGTGGGTGGGGGTCAATACTGGCTTGTGGGCGAGGGTCAATACTGGCTTGTGGGTGAGGGTCAATACTGGCTTGTGAGTGAGGGTCAATACTGACGTGGGGTCAATACTGACGTGGGGGTCAATACTGACATAGAGGGTCAATACTGACGTGGGGGTCAATACTGGCGTTGGGGTCAATACTGGCGTGGGGGTCAATACTGACGTTGGGTCAATATTGGCTTGTGAGTCAATACTGGCGTGGGGGTCAATACTGGCGTGGGGGTCAATACTGGCGTGGGGGTCAATACTGACGTGGGAGTCAATACTGGCGTGGGGGGTCAATACTGACGTGGGGGTCAATACTGACGTGGGGTCAATACTGGCGTTGGGGTCAATACTGGCGTGGGGGTCAATACTGACGTGGGGGTTAATACTGGTTTGTGAGTGTGGGTCAATACTGTCGTGGGGGTCAATACTGACGTGAGGGTCAATACTGGCTTGTGAGTGTGGGTCAATACTGTCGTGGGGGTCAATACTGGCGTGGGGGTCAATACTGGCGTGGGGGTCAATACTGACGTGGGGGTCAATACTGGCGTGGGGGTCAATACTGACGTGGGGGTCAATACTGACGTGGGGGTCAATAATTGTCGTGGGGGTCAATACTGTCGTGGGGGTCAATACTGACGTGGGGGTCAATACTGGCGTGGGGGTCAATACTGACGTGGGGGCCAATACTGGCGTGGGGGTTGGGGGGGGCTACCGCTGGCTGGTGGAGAGCGATCACCCACCAAGATAAGGTGGAGTGGTTGACGTGGGGGGGGGGAGGGAGGGGGAGTAAGAGATGCTGTTGCCATTGTGGTTGACGCAAGAGTCAGCGAGATAAAGAAAAAAAAGAAACTGCGTGCTTGTGGTGCAGCTGCTTGAAGGGGGGAGGGAGGAGGCTGGTGGCATAGTTGGCGTGGGTAGTTGCATAGTTGGCGTGGGTAGTGGTGTGGTTGGTGTGTGTGTGTGTGAGGTTGGGCAGTATGGTTGAAGCGTGCGGTTGACTAACCAGCTGAGGTCCGGAAACACCACCAAGTTCTCCACCCTCCATATTGATATCATATTCTTTAAGAAGTGCATCTTCGAATCTGAGAATCAGGATAAGAATATATTGGAGCACCTGGGGGAGATAAACATCGTAACGGAACGTCAGCCTAGACTTAAGAGAAGGAAAGTCATGCCTGATAAACTTAATAGAGTTTCATCATAAAGTTACCGAAACATAAGAAAGAAAAGACCGGGCAGAATATCTTCCCAAGATTTTCAAAGGGCATTTCATTTCTCATTTGAACCTCGTGTGCAAGATAGGGGAACAAACTGGGATAATGAGAAATTATTGAAGTGGGTACAGCCACAAGGTGAGGTAGGTAGGTAAGGGAGTACCTGACTGACAGAAAACAAAGGTTCTCCAGTCAGAGAGAGAGAGAGAGCTTGTCCAACCACTTGGACTGGACGGTAGAGCGACGGTCTCGTTTCATGCAGGTCGGCGTTCCAACATTGAAAAAAAACATTGAAAACTACACTTTGCAACAAGACTAATGCAAGAACCAATCGGATTAAGCAACTCTCGAAACCCTAGAGAAGAAACATAGAAGATATGACTACGACATCCAAAATACCGAAGGGAATTAACAAGATGAACAAGGACAGCCTCTATAAATTGGGAGAACAAGATGACACAAGTGAGGGCTAGTGCCCTTCGGACACTTTCTTTCACCTATTGCCTCTGTTCACCTAGCAGTAAATTTATACCCGGGAATCAAGAAACTAGACCTATTGAAGTCCCTAGTGGGACTTCAATAGGCCTATGAGCAATTTTGGTGCCCCTGATGATGAGAAATATTTAGGGGGAGGGGGGTCAGGGGCCCCAACAACCCCCCATGATCAATACAATCCACGTTATGGTCATTAATCTTCAACATACCTGAAGAACATTTTCTTCGTAATAATTCTCATCCGTGAATATAAAGTACTCTAAGGGAGGGGAGGATGACCCCATCTCGTCTCTTAAAATGTGAGAAAATACGAAACAAAGTCGTGCATGCAAATGAGCAATTCACTACGTTCAGAATATTTTCAACAGTCTACCAATCAGGGATTTTCAGGATATTTACAACAGTCTACCAATCAGGGACTTTCAGGATATTTACAAGTCTGCCAATCAGTCTACCAATCAGGTCAGAGTTAGTGTCATAGATTTGCCACAGGTGATGCTGGTGGTAATACTTGCTTCTTATGGTATATACACTCAAAAACTCACATTTCATTTACACTAAAATATAGACAAAATTCTGTAAACAAAAATTTGGTTTCTGTAAAAATGGCATTGTTTATCTCTATAAGTCACTGTGTGTGTGTGTGTGTATGTGTGTGTGTGTGTGTGTGTGTGTGTGTGTGTGTGTGTGTGAGTGAGTGTGTGTGTGTGTGTGTACTCATCCATTTGTGCCTGCAGGATCGAGCATTGGCTCTTGGATCCCGCCTTTCGAGCCATCGGTTGTTTACAGCAATGACTCTGGTCCTATTTCCCTATCAAATGTGTGTATATATGTATATGTGTGTGTGTGTGTTTGATTGAGTTTACCGGAGCCTTAAAGCACATCCAGAGGCACACTACAAGGGGCCCAGGAGCTGAGTCCCTAGGGGCGTGCACGCAGCCTCCTCCCCCCTGCACATCCGGGAGAAATAACTTACCTTCTCAAACACGTGAGATCTGTGAAGGATGAGACCAATCTAGGAGTAAACACAGAGCACGCGCGCACGCTCGCGCTCCGTGGCCTGCATGGAAATGCCACGGACGGGAGAGGCAAGGCAGCAAGATAAGAAGGATGAAAATAGAGTGAGGAAGGAAGAATAGGAGAGAGACAGAGAGAGAGAGAGAGAGACAAACAGAGACCAGCTCGCAGAAATACTTGCTCCCACAAGGGCCTTGAGTACAGACTAAGAGGCAGTAGAGCAGCGTGCAATTAGGCACTTACCGAGAAAGTACTTCTGGCACTCCAGGGCCGTTTCGGAGTTGCCTAGTGCCAGGTGGGCCAAGCCCAGGTTGCAGTAGGCCCGTCCCATAGACTTGCGATCCTGTAGGTCCTTGGCCAGCGCCAGATCTTGGTCATAGTACCTGATGGCTTCCTGCAAGGGAAGAAGTGGACATGATCACTGCGTTAGTGATGACTTCCTGCGGGTGGAAAGGCAACCTCCCCGAATAATGAGATTAATCCCTGAATTAATCTCCGAATAATGAGATTAATCCCCGTACTAATCTTCGAATAATGAGATTAATTTCCGAATTAATCTGTGAATGAGATTCAACTCTCTTTCATATTATATATATATATATATATATATATATATATATATATATATATATATATATATATATATATATATATATATATATATATATATATATATATATATATATATATGACAGTATAGGGACACACACAAAAATATATATATATATATTTTTGTGTGTCCCTAATAGGTCAAGTTGCCTAATAAGCCGAATTTTCCTAAAATATTAATTTTTTCAAATAAATTTTCTTATGCATTAATAAAGCTATCTATTATATTATATATGATTTGAACTTATAGTAATTTCAGATAAAACTAACATAGAAATTTACACAAACCTAACGTAACTAAGTAATTCGTGTTCCTTTCCCAGTTGAAAAGTTGTAAACACATTAACTTCTATTTACTAAGTGAACATTTCCAAGCATTACACTTGTCTGGCTCTGTCATAACATCATCCCAACTTGCAGTTAAAAACTTCTTCAAACATTTCAGTCAAATGTGTATTGTTAAAATTCTGGTACTTAGGCAAAACTTAGTATTTATTTGCATAACTTAAATCTATATTTAAAAAAAAAAAATTGACAGCTGATCACTTCAGTCTATCTCGCCAACAATTCCTGTTTTTTTTATAAACAATTATTTGTAGTTAAAACTAATTATTGGATATTTATATCAATAGAGGATTTTTGAGCAGTTGACTTAATACTTTATTCTTATCTAGAGGCTTTGTAAAAGATTTGCTAACGGAGATAAGACACACTCAAAATTCAATTCAATTAAAATAAGGGGAAAGCGCCAAGCCATTATGACGTTATAGCACTGGGAAGGGGTCAGGATAAGGATTTGGGATGGGACGGGGGGAAAGGAATGATGCCCAACCACTTATGGACCGTCGGGGAAATGAACACCGACCTGCATGAAGCGAGACCATCGCCCTACCGTCCAGTCCAAGTGGTTGGACTTACACTCCAAAAAAGCACCAAGTCGGGTAGACTATGAAGTTACTGACCTTAAAGTTACCGAGGCAGTAGTGGGCATATCCCAGAAAGTGGCAGGCTCTGGCCTCTCCCTCAGTGTCGTGGAGCTCCTGTGAGAGCATCAGGTACTGTTCGTAATAGGGTACGGCCTGCGCGAACTCCCCTCGCGAAGAGTGGCAGTTGCCAAGGTTGAGGAGAGCACAGGCTTCGCCCGCCGTGTCCTTGAGTTCCCTGGCGATGTTGAGGTGGGAGTGGTAGTGGAGGAGTGCCATCTCGTGCATGCCTAGTGCCTGGTAGGCCACCGCTAGGTTGCCATGGGTAGATGCTTCGCTCATGCGGTCGTTCACCTCCTTGCTGATAGTCAGCTCCTGCTTGTGGTATTTGATGGCTTGTTCGTAGTAACCCATGGCGGAGTAGGCATTGCCTATGTTGCCATAGGCTCTGCCCATCCCTGCACGATCTTGCAGGAGTCTGGCGATGTTGAGATGAGCTTGGTGGAGTTTGAGCGCCGCATCGTGGTGGCCCATCAGTTGGTAAACAATACCTAGGTTCGAACAGGCACGGCCTTCAGCGACCTTGTCCTTCGTGCTGAGGGCCATGTCCAGTTGTTTTTCGTGCCAGCGCTGAGCCTGGCCATAGTCGCTCATGCAGCGGGCAGCATGCCCCAGCCCAGCATATGCCCTGGCCTCGATGGTACGGTCGCCCAGATCCTGCGCAATCCGCAGCACGTGATTGTGGAAGGCGATGGCCTGGTCGAAGTTGCGCTTGTAGTGGTGACTAGAGCCAAGGTTGCTGTAGGCCCGTGCCTCCTCTACCTTGTTGTTGAGGTGCTTGGCGATGCGCAGGTGTTCCATGTGGCAGTCGACGGCGCTGTCGAAGTCGCCCATGGCCAGGTAGACCGCGCCCACGTTGCCGATCTCACGCGCCTCTTGCAGTTTGTCGCCCATCTGTTTGACCAGCTGCACGCATTGCTTGTGGGAGGCCAGGGCGTTGGGGTAGTCTCCGATGGCAGTGTACACATGACCTGCCGACAAAATAATTGTTATAACTTACACACAACGAGATAAATAAAGATTATTCAGCACAGGTGGTCATGTACAGCCCCGCTCCTGTGCCAGGTAAGTCCACTACGGGCTCACCATAGCCCGTGCTACTTGCCCCGCTCCTGTGCCAGGTAAGTCCACTACGGGCTCACCATAGCCCGTGCTACTTGCCCCGCTCCTGTGCCAGGTAAGTACACTACGGGCTCACCATAGCCCGTGCTACTTGCCCCGCTCCTGTCAGGTAAGTACACTACGGGCTCACCATAGCCAGTGCTACTTGCCCCGCTCCTGTGCCAGGTAAGTACACTACAGGCTCACCATAGCCCGTGCTACTTGCCCCGCTCCTGTGCTAGGTAAGTACACTAAGGGCTCACCATAGCCTGTGACACTTGCCACGCTCCTGCGCCAGGTAAGTACACTACGGGCTCACCATAGCCCGTGCTACTTGCCCCGCTCCTGTCAAGTACACTACGGGCTCACCATAGCCAGTGCTACTTGCCGCGCACCTGTGCCAGGTAAGTACACTACAGGCTCACCATAGCCCGTGCTACTTGCCCCGCACCTGTGCCAGGTAAGTACACTAAGGGCTCACCATAGCCCGTGCTACTTGCCCCGCTCCTGCGCCAGGTAAGTACACTAAGGGCTCACCATAGCCCGTGATACTTGCCACGCTCCTGTGCCAGGTAAGTACACTACGGGCTCACCATAGCCCGTGCTACTTGCCCCGCTCCTGTCAGGTAAGTACACTACGGGCTCACCATAGCCAGTGCTACTTGCCCCGCTCCTGTGCCAGGTAAGTACACTACGGGCTCACCATAGCCCGTGCTACTTGCCCCGCTCCTGTCAGGAAAGTACACTACGGGCTCACCATAGCCAGTGCTACTTGCCCCGCTCCTGTGCCAGGTAAGTACACTACGGGCTCACCATAGCCCGTGCTACTTGGAATTTGTTCCGAGTGGCTGAATCTATAACAACAACAGCACGGGTGGTACTCGCACAAGGGTACACCGGTGGAAACTGAGTACCAACATAAACCACACAGACATTATAAAAAAAAATTAGTATCAGAGTAGTTAAATATGCATTAGGCAATGATGTAGTGAAGGCAGACTCCATACCCAGTTTCAAATGTTGATATGCTAACAGCCCAGTAGGCTCAGGAACTTATACACCAGTTGACTGATAGTTGAGAGGCGGGACCGAAGAGCTGAAGCTCGTTGCCTGTCTTGCCTTCCTCTTCCCCCCCCCTCTCTCACCCCTCCCTCCTTTCCCTAGGAGGGGAAGTCTAAGGAAAAACATACAAAAGATTTTGGGATATAAAGGGTAAGAATTACGATTGGATTTTTTTTCAATTTTGGAGCGATCAGCACACACTGTTTCCACAGAAAAAAATAAAATAAATACAAACTAATAACAACAGTTCAGATTAGAGTCATATGGTATTGCGACATTTTAATGGGAGTCATGTTACCTCAGTGTTACTTGGCACTATTTTTCTATTATGTCAATCCCAACCCTCCCATGTTTGGCACATACCCAACAGCAATTACTGGGAGCAAAAATTGTGAAGCTAGCCCCAAGAACCTGACCTCCATCAACGAACAGACGTAGGCATTTCCATATATATATATATATATATATATATATATATATATATATATATATATATATATATATATATATATATATATATATATATATTATTAAATATGACCGAAAAAGTAAGATTAATAATTCTAACACGAATTTTCTCAATCTTTCGTACATTACGCTTCACTGTTGGAGGTAAATCAAAAATCACTTCTCCAAAATTCATTTTTATTTCTAGTCTGACGCGACACGGGCGCGTTTCGTAAAACTTATTACATTTTCAAAGACTTCACAAATACACAACTGATTAGAACGTATCTCTGATTTTATATCTACATTTGAGTGAGGTGGGAAGGGTGATGTGGCATTAACACAAGACAGAACAGGAGGGGATATTAATAGGGTATTAAAAGTATCAACACAAGACAGAACAGAAACAATGGGTATTGAATAGAAGTGTTTGTAGAAAGCCTATTGGTCCATATTTCTTGATGCTTCTATATTGGAGCGGAGTCTTGAGGTGGGTAGAATATAGTTGTGCAATAATTGGCTGTTGATTGCTGGTGTTGACTTCTTGATGTGTAGTGCCTCGCAAACGTCAAGCCGCCTGCTATAGCTGTATCTATCGATGATTTCTGTGTTGTTTACTAGGATTTCTCTGGCGATGGTTTGGTTATGGGAAGAGATTATATGTTCCTTAATGGAGCCCTGTTGTTTATGCATCGTTAAACGCCTAGAAAGAGATGTTGTTGTCTTGCCTATATACTGGGTTTTTTGGAGCTTACAGTCCCCAAGTGGGCATTTGAAGGCATAGACGACGAACCCTCATGAACCCTCATCCCATAGACGAAGGCATATATATATATATATATATATATATATATATATATATATATATATATATATATATATATATATATATATATATATATATGTGTGGGGTGGCTTAAGGATTGGCTTAACAACGGCTGTGTATGTTGCCTTGAAAGAGTCCACGTTTAGATCTTTAACTACCATTCTAATGTTTGCCAGCGTCACATACGCTGTTGATGTTACCCTGTTTGTGTGTGCCCCTTGGCGCTTAGTGTTGGAGTTATATCCACTTCTCTATCTTTCTATCTTTCTCTCTTTCTTTCCACTTCATGTAGCTGCCTCATGGTCTTCTTTGCTTTTCTTCTCCGTCTGCAAAAATGTTAGTTTAACAGCTCCGTTGCATCAACACATTTCCGAGGAATGATTTCCATCATCTTATTTGATTATCTTCACTTCCACTTCTCTTTCCCCCCATTTAGAGTTCACTCAGAAAGTCCATCATCTTCCTGTAGTCCTCCCACGTCTGTAATCTCTCATCTTCATCAACAGTTCTCTTTGTGTAATCAACTCTTGCAGCTCCATTATGTACCCCAGCACGATGATGCCGCGAGGTCGCCAGTTTTCCAGGGACATCACATACCCTATCTGCTCCACATATGCCGCATTTTGGAGGGAAACATAGGGTGTAGTGACGCTGGACCCCGGCTCTTTACTGCTAGTGGTGGTGGTGGTACTGGTAGCTGGTGGTTCTACTGCTGTTGGTGATGGTGGTGGTGTTGTTGTGCGTCTGAAAGCTGTGTGGAGGCGTCAGTGCCGTATTCGGAGGAGTGGGGGAGGGGCAGTGATGAAGACGAGTTCTCTGGGGGCAGTGAGGGAGCAGAGCTCTCTGGGGGGGGGGCAGTAAAGGAGAGAAGTTCTCAGGGATGTGACAGGTTGGATATTAATGCCATTTGGTGATGACAATATCGCAGTGAGCATCTTCCTCTTGACTTGCACTTGGGGCCAAAACCCGCAGTCATGCTCTAATGAACCACCAACAGAGCCGCCTGGGCCACGTCTCCGCCTCATCCCATCATCTTAAGTAATAATAATAATAATATTAATAATCTTCTTCCTTGTTGCTTTGTCACTGAATTAATCCAAGTCCGCTTGTTTCTCTTTTTGTTCTTCCTGTAGGTGAGGAAGCAGTTCGTGTGTGGATCGACGAACTTTGCTCCTTCACCTTTTGTTTACTTTTGTTTGGCTACGGGAGTTTAGTTTCTACACGACTCGAAGCTATTGCAGAGAAGTGGAACTTCTTATTTGTTTGTGTGACTTCATTAGCATGGAAATGCTCTTGCTCCTTTCCAGCTATTACGGCCAGGAGCCTCCCCTTCAACTGTTCTCAAGTTACCAAGTCACAGACCGGCGCGTAATTTTTATGATCTTTGCGCATTCACAAAAACAGTTAAGCTTGTAAAGCGGTTCTTGTAATTGTAATTGTAATTGTGTTAGTGCTTGCTTTTGCGAGAGCTTAGGACGTGAGTTGAATGGGTCGAACTGGCTGCTCCAGGAACCTTATCTTCGTTCTTTTATCCCAGTCTTGATCTCCTTCGATGTTTGGGGGATACTTCGATGTTTGGGGGATACTTCGATGTTTGGAGGATACTTCGATGTTTGGGGGATACTTCGATGTTTGGGGGACACTTCGATGTTTGGAGGATACTTCGATGTTTGGGGGATGCTTCGATGTTTGGGGGATACTTCGATGTTTGGAGGATACTTCGATGTTTGGGGGAATACTTCGATGTTTGGGGGACACTTCGATGTTTGGGGGATACTTCGATGTTTGGGGGACACTTCGATGTTTGGGGGACACTTCGATGTTTGGGGGACACTTCGATGTTTGGGGGAATACTTCGATGTTTGGGGGATACTTCGATGTTTGGGGGAATACTTCGATGTTTGGGGTATACTTCGATGTTTGGGGGGTACTTCGATGTTAGGGGGACACTTCGATGTTTAATGTTTGTATTTCTTGTTACTTCTGCCATGCCTGCCAGTGGCTGTAACTACCGGTGTTAACCATCCACTGACACTACTGTTCCATCAACCACATCTCCAACCAACCACTCCACCAGGCCTCCACAATCCCCCCTACCCCAAACACTCCCCCTACTAGCATCCACCTCAACCTGCTTCCACACTCGACCCGCCCACACCTCCACTCCACGCCTTTCCTCTTCCCCCTAGCCACACTCCTTTCCCCATCCACACCTGCCTCCACACCGTATCCACACCTGCCTCCACACCCTCATCCACCCGCCTCCACCAACCGCCCAAAAGGAGTAAATCCCAAACTCATGTTTCTCTTTCTTCAGCGTCTTAATAGAGACGTCTGAGAGGCGCTACTCTTTGCGCATTTTAAAAAGAATGTTTTTTTGACAACTTTTTTTTTTCTTTTGCCCCCCCACATTAGGTTTAATATGTTAAAAGGTTTTATGTTTTTTTTGTATATCTGTTACTTTACATTGTCTTGGAGGGTATAGCGAGACACTGTAGGCTGTTGGTGTTGCTCGCAGATATGCAGTTGCAAGGC